CTCACTATATTTACCCTTTTAAATGTTAATGAAGAGAATGTTTATTTTTTTATTTTTTTTTTGGTAAAACTAAGGGGATAATTGTCCCAGAATTGTACATTGTTTATAGATGTAGGATTATTTTACGATGTATTGACGCGTTTGTGTATACGCTCCAGCCCGGCAGTAATACCCTGTCTTAGGGATTAAGACACAAATACTGCGGGGTCCTCAGTCTGGAAGTAGTCTTTGTCGAGATAGCAGTGGACGACTACCCCCACCATTCCAGACTCACTTCACCTCATCTGCGTCATTTAAAGATCCCAGCTGTTTCATCGCGAGTCATCGATCAGCACATCGATATGCATATAGATCCCCCCACCATCGACTGCTTTGACAGTTGAATTTCAGGTAACTAACCTCTTCGGAAATATAACCTGCAATTTGGGATATTTTATATTATTTTTGGGAAATTGAATAATTTTCTTTCTTCTCATTTGTTTGGTTTTAATTGTTCATATTTTATATCTCTTTTTTTTTTTATTCAATAAATATTGTAAGCATTTAGAAGGGGGTTTTTCATTTTCCATTTTTGATTTATTGAATATTTTTATTTTATATTATTTTCTATTGCATCCATTTGTTTTGTTTTTTCTCTAATGTTTTACAGGTCTCATTTTTACTCTTTTTTTCCCCCTCTTTCCCAACAGAATTTAATTTTTCCCGAATTTTCCCCACCATTGAGGAAACGCACCGGGGAAAGATTTGTACTTCGGTTTTGAAGTACCCCTGGCCCTAACAGAACGTGTATGCATTTTTCATTGATTTTAAAGCAGCGTTTGATTGTATAGAAAGGGAGGCTTTGTTTTTTAAGTTGGCTAATCTTGGGCTGTCTCATAAATTTATGAATATCATAAGAAGCTTACATACAAATACTAAAGCTACCGTATATCATAAAGAAAGACTAACTGACTTTTTCGAAACATCAGTAGGGTTAAGACAGAGTTGTCTGCTTAGTCCTTTGTTATTTGCGTTGTTCATAAACGATTTGCACTAACATTTGGAAGAGGGGCTATAAATCGCAGGAGTAAATATTAGATGTTTATTGTATGCAGATGACGTAGTGCTATTAGTCCCTTCTCCAGTTAAATTACAGCGTATGATAAACCACTTGGAGAATTACTGCCGAATGTGGAACTTGCATATAAATTTGGCCAATCAAAAATAATAGTTTTTCGCAATGGAGGTAGACTAACCAAATATGAGAGGTGGAACTTCGGAGGAAGTCCTGTTGAAGTAGTAAACGAGTATTAATATCTGGGTGTTATCATAACTCCAAGATTGGTCTTGGGACGACACTTTGCTGATAGAGTAAGTCTTGCAAAATTTGGCCTAAATTCTACCTGGCATAATTTCACAGCTAATAAAAAAAATGTCGCTATTCAAGTAAACTAGTGGTTTATAATTCGGTCTCTCGGGTGGGCAGGTTATATTAATTATGCTGGGCAGGTTTGGGGTTTCGAGCCCTATGAAGTTTTGGAAAAATTTAAAAGATACTTCGTAAAAAAATTACTGCGTCTCCCAAGGTATGCACCTAATTATATTTTGGCACACGAAATCGGTCTCACCTCGATATACTCCTACACACTTAAAATTCATTTCGACTATATTTTGAAAGTGCTGGAGAAGCCGAGTTTTCGTTTGCTACATATCCTAGCGAAAGAGATGATAACTAAGAGAGTTTATTGGTACCAAAAGTGGTTAGAATTCGGGGATAGTTGTAAAACTAATCTTGATATTGCAAATATCGCTGATCTGCGCGGAAAATTGACTGTTGTTAGACATAGGGTATAGGACTTAGAAAAACAAAATAACCTAGAAAAATGTCTTCATTCAAGTTTTTCTGTTTACGAAAGACTATGTTCAGTGGGCATTGTTACACCCTATCTTAATGATAGTTTTGATATTGTGACTATAGGGTCAATTTTTCGATGTAGCACAGAGTTGCTCGATTTAAGCGTAAAACCATGGGTGGTGGGGAACAACGATTGCTGTCAGATATGTAACTCTCAAGAAAAAGAAGATATCATTCACTTTTTGGCGACTTGCCACATGTTCAGTGAGTTAAGAGAGAAATGTTTTGGGCTGCGGACCTGTTCTCCAGAAGAATTATTTGGTTTCTTAAAGTTTTTTAACAGGAAAGCCTTAAGCAATTCTGTACAGCAGGCCACATTGCATATGTTGATATTAATTAAATTGTGAGGTTTATTACGAAATAAGTTGAGATTAATCTCCAGTTGTGTAAAAAAATGAGATGTTTTGACCTGTAACGTTAAAGTATCTATGTTTTGAACAAAAATGGCTACAATAAATTATTGCGAAGCTTTAATTTATTTTTTCACATCATTTGGTATGGATAATCATAAACATAAATCAATAAGTATAGTTTTTATTTATTATAAAATAAAAATCATTTTTAATCATTTATGAATAAAAACATTATAAATAATGATTTTTAAATATTTATGATCAAAAGTGATAATAACACTGAGTATTTTTGTTTAAGATCTCTATAATAGAAAATGATCCGCATTTATAAATGACTAATTAAACGTTCCCAATCGTAATATCTACTGTAAAATAAAGAAGCCTTCTGATTGCTTGAATTATTTTCATGAAATCGTAAATATTAGGATTCATTTAATTGATTACTTATAAATAGGGACCAATTTCTATAATTCAGGGCTTAATAAAAAACAGTTGCATTATGATTTTAAATAATAAATATTTGAAAAATCGTTATTTTTAACATTTTTTTTTGTACTAAATAATAAGTGTATTGTAGAATTTATGTTTATATAATACATTCCAGGTAAAGGGAAAAATAAATTAAAGCTTTGTAATAATTTATTGTAATCATTTTTACTGAAAACAATGGTCCTTTATGGTGACAGGATATCAAAAAAACACATCATTTGTTTACACAATGTGAGGTGAATTTCAAGATAATTTCTAATAAACCCTTAATTTAATTAATATGGACCTAAAGCTTACTAAACAAGAAACTTTTTCTAAAATAATGGTGCCTGTATAATTAGATTTAGAGGGTGAAAAATAAAATACACAAGTAATTGATGGCTTTTAAAAACAGAATTTAAGTTAATTTATCTGCTCAAAAACCTCTTAAATATTTTTAACGGAGACAAACTGCACTCTCATTTCAAGTAAATTTTGTCTAGTTTATAGTAAATCAATTTTTAATTAATTATACTAAATTGTTTTATTCATTACTTCCTATCCATCAAAAACCATAGCTTAATTTAAAAAAAAAAAATTAAAAACTTATATTTTTCTACTATTCACAATTCACTCCCTCAATACCAAATCTCAACCTATAGATTTATATATCCCCTCCCATAAAACCACTTCCTTCAGTAAATCCTTCGTCATTCGTGCTACCTCCTTATGGAACTCCTAACCCATCTCCATACGTCAAACCACTTCCATAAACTCCTTCAAACAACTCCTATTCCACCACCTACTACAAATTCAAACTCCCGCAAGCTTGTAAAAATTTCTGAGTTATATAATTAGGCCACCAGCAGTTAATTGATAGAAGGCATTTTATTTTTATTTATTAATTTTTTTATATCTCAGTATTTTATTGTATATATCTGTGTTTATCGCTATTATGTTACATAGATATTTTCCTTGGTACTTTTATTTAGTTTTCTTTTATATATATTTGTATTTTTCTTAGTATCTTTATATATATATGTATATATACATAAAGATATATATATATATATATATATATATATATATATATATATATATATATATATATTATATATATATATATATATATATATATATATATATATATATGTACATATATACGCAATTGCTTTACGTTTACATAAGCATATATATGTTTACAATTTTCTCCTACTTATGAAACATCCTGCATATCTACATATTCTAGGATTTTGTATATATTTGTATAATACTTACATGCCAGACTAAGGTACATATTTTGTAAATTCTACTATTATTCTAAGGGGACTCCAGTCCCAGAATAAAATTATTTTTCATTTCATTCTGCCAAAAATCGGACCATTGTTTTATGAACTTTTTTAAAAACTGTCCTTTGTTTAAATATTTCCTCCTACTTACGAAACATCCTGCATATCAACATATTCTAGAATTTTATGATTCAATCACCCCTCAATTTTCATGTGATATTCACATTTTCCGTAGGGAACTAGTCGGACTGTGAAAAACCTTCTATTTTTATTTTAGGTTGTACACACTAAGAAATTAAAAATATTTTTTACATGTTTAAATCATTCATTTTTAGCTGAATCTAAAACATTGAATTACAGACCTTTACTGGTTTAAAAACTGTTAAAAACAATAACACTATTTACTAGATGAGTGACAATGTTTAATTCTATGGTCACAGAATATAAATTATTATGAACAAAAAAATTAACATGAACTATTTGTTTATCCTGGGAGATTGATTCACACTTTGCAGAAAACTCGTGATAAGATTACTTACAATACTCATAACTCACAAGGGGAGTGGGGTAGCTCAATGGTAGGATACTGAGCGTCTAATGGTAATGGTCCCAGGTTCGAACCCCGGCTCATTGCAGAAAATTTATTTATCTATTTCATTAGCTTGGGGCAACCATTCTGGGGCACATCCAGCCTCTATAAAGTGGGTACCCTTAATTAAATAATTAATTAAGGGGGAAAACCTGGCGGTTGAGCGTGATCTTGGTCAAATCACCTCCTTGCACAACCGTTGACCTAGAAACAGTGCTTTACTTAAATAGTACTGAACTCAAGACCCTTCATGGATTGTAGTGGTACAGGTATTTTTTATTGTTTTGTTTTTTTCTCATAATTCACAAGAACTAAGAACATTTGTTATTTAGTAGCTTATTCCATGTGACCTTAGAATTTATTAACCATGAAGAAGTTAAAAATGTATTTTAAAGAATAAAAGAAAAAAGACATATGTGGCTAATTTATTTATTTAATAACACTTTTGTAAATGGATGAACAGAACCTGGACAACTGGTATCAAATTTTTGCCAGGATATATCCTTTAACTCTTGATCTTTCTTCTGTTTAGTCATAAAGTCATCATTTTCTATAATTTCTCTTGTCCTTAAAAGCTTTGCATACTCACTTTGACCTGCAAGATCTTTCACTCGTTGCACTTCTTCCTCTTTCTGATAATTTTCCATTATTTTATCTAACTCTTTATTTTTATCTAACATAATTTGTGACCATTTATCAGTAAGTTTTTCGGTTTCCTTTTCCATTTCTAACATTTGTTTTTTGTGTATTATCTGTTGTTTTCTTGTTTCTAATGTTTCTCTGTGGAGTCTTTCTGAGGCTTCTTTCATAATTTCTTGATTTTTACGAATAATAGCATCTTTTTTTGCTACCTCTTGCAGTCTTAAAATCTCAAATTGTCTTTCTTCTTCCAATTTTGCTTCATGGATTTCTTTTAACTGCTGTCTAAAATAATCAGCCTCTCTTCTATTTTCAACTCTTGTGTCACGTTTATTAAGTTTTTCATTTTGAATATTTTCTGCAACTTTTTGACAATAATAATCATCAAATGCTTTTTCAAAAGCAGCTTTCTCCATCCTCAATTTTCGATTTTCTTCAAGTTGCGCTAATGATATATTTTTCATCTCCAATTTTTGTTGGAGTATAAATTCTTTCTCCTTTTGTTCCTCATCTTTAATTTGTTGTTTTAGTTTATCAAGAAATATATTTTCATTTTCTTTGATTTGTTTCATTTCATTCTGCATTATTTTCTTACCAATTATTTGCTTGTTCAATATTTCTCTTTGCTCTTGTAATTTTGTCAATCTGACCGTTTCTTCATGTTCTTCATATTTTCTTCTCTCATTATCAACTTTGTTTTCCAAGTCTAACCAAAATTTATCCCATTCACCTTCTCTCTCTTTTTGCATCATTTTTTCACAAATTTGCTGTTTTTGAACTTCGGCAGTTTCTAGTTTCATATTCTTACTTACTTGTATTCTATACTCTTCTGAATTTTCTTGAGCTTGCTGTTCAAGGCGGAGCCTTGCTTCTTCCTCTCTTTCTCTTTTTTTTCTTATTTCTATTTCAACAACTTTTTTTTTCTTTTGTTTAAGGAGTTCTTCAGCTAACTTTTGGGCTCTATCCACATATTCATGAGTCAAATCAGTTTCTTCCTTTAAAATTACAGCTTTTAGTTTATTTCGTTTAGCATCCAAGTCAGATTCAGCTACTTTAATTCCTAAGTCAACATGGCGATAAATCTTAGCCATTTGGCTTTTTAGAGTAGTAGCATTTAATATAGCAGCTTTATCTTCTAATATTCTAAAATTTTCAATTTCTACTACTTTTTTAGTTCCAACAGACCTTTTTGACCTGTTTTGTTCCCACATTAATTCTAAATTCCTACCTTTTCCAGCTTCTATTAAACGTTTTGAGTATGTTCTGTAATCTGGACAGTCTAAATCCCTAATACTTGGCATAGTTACGAATTCCTGCCATGATGACTTATCTAAGCTCCTTTGGCTTGAATCGAAGTTTTTAGTTTTTTCTGTCATTTTCTTTCTTCTTTCTGTGTAGTAATAAGTTTTAATATTGTTATGCCCTAAATCTGAAACAAAATATTAATTAATAAATAAAACACTAATAATAATTAATTTGTAATGAAGTAAAGAGGAAATGTGTAAATGTATTAACATAGAGTGGACTAAAGGCACCAATGACTAAAAATCTAGTGAACTTATAAATATATATATTTTTTTATGGTATAACAGTTGAGCATATAAGTTATGAATGTCATATCCTATATTTTTTACAATTATAACTACAGTTTTGTAACAACATATAAAGTGTTCATGAGAGAAAATAGGGTAAGCATCCAAAATACATTTTCAAAAAATACGACTTTTCAACCCACATTATAGGTCTTCATTAGGGCTGAAACAAGAGGAAAAGTAGAAGTCAACTGACAAGTCAAAAAAAGTCCTCCTCGGTGTCAACATGATTATTGAAATAGAGGAGAATTAATTACAATGAAACAATAGCTATAACTTTAATAATAAAACAAACTAGTGATAATACAACAAATAATTGGAGAACAGTTTCCTAGAAACGCAAAACTAAGGAGAATATATTAAAAAATAAATCAAGGCCATTTGTATACCAATGTTTTATTGTTTTTACAATATCATTATTTGATGGGACGATCTTCGGGCAGCACCTGGGCTGTTTTTAAGTCTGAAGGATTTTTTTCAAATAATTTCATTCTTAATTATATGCAATTAAAAATATTAATTTTATAATTTGCATATATAAAATTAATATTTACCTCCTAATTTTATCTATATCTAGTATTTATGTTTTGCATTATTTATTGTTATTTTTCTATTTCTTAGCTTGTACATAAGTTTTATATATATATATATATATTTTATTATTACCTTATTCTATCATCTCTTATCAAATCCATTGCCACTATTTTGTTTCTCTTTTCTTTAGATTACAAAGCACAATTGTCAATTTTCAAATTTGATCTCCCCTACCTCATTATGGAGAGGCTGACTAAAAATTGTCATAGTGGGGACAGGGAAAATAAGAAAAAAATATTTACTATTGTATTAAATGAGTTATGATGCATGATAAATTTCAAAAACCAAAAGACACTTCCAGTAAAGTAGGCCAAGTAAATTTTTGATGAAAAAGGAAGCTAACCGTTGGAAAGCTGAATTACTGCTCTATTAACTGACATCAATAACTTTTTGAATTCATTCTATTTAAAGTAGTTAATCAAAAAAAACTTCTAGCCCATTTTTATTTTATATCTTTGATTCTTATTTGTATACGAATCTCGGGTTCATACTGTTTCATCCAGCATACAGAGGCAGGAGATATTCTGCACCCCCCTTTTCCCCCGGCAATGATGTCATCTCCTCCCCTACAAAAATTAAATATATTTCTTAAGTTGTTTTATAATATGCAATATTTGAATTTTATTTCATTCAACGATTATCTACTTACAGTTACTTTATTGATAGGATAAAATCAATTATCTTAATAAGTTTTGTAATTTTTTTTTTTATTTCTTACAGGTGGTGAGCGCTCCTGAAGATCGACTGGCATCCGCAATGTGCTCCCCGACCGGGAGGCCCAGGGACAATTGCCCCAGGTGCTGCACTTCAAGGATTTACTTAAGGATCGGTGGAGCCGTTCTAAAGTAATCACATTTTGGTTGATTATTTTCAATAATCAACCATTGTGATCGACCAAAAAATTCATAAACTTAACCCCCTCTCAAAATTTGAAAAACGAATAAAAAATTGTTTGTCCTTCCACCGTCCGCGCATTTTCTCCGAAATCACTGGTGCAATTTTTTTCTAATTTGGATATAAAATCAGAGGTCACCTGAGGATGATCCTCCTTCATCAACATTACTATCCACCTTTTATTTTCAAAATGGCGGCCAAAAAACCTGCTTTGCTATAGACTGTAGCTCCTAAACGAATGTACCGATTTCAATGAAACTTCGCTAAAGTCACTTTCTTGAGACCCTTTAAATTTATTTATATAACATACATCAACGAAAAGAAGCTGGAAAAAAATTTACGAGGGATGGTAAAATTTAATTCCGAATAACTCAAAAAGTACACACTTTTTTGTCAATATTGTATTAGGTTTTTTAAAAGTTTATGGAATTTCCTAAAAACCTCCAAAAAATTGTTAAAATCGGACAATTAGGAGCAAAGATATGGTTTCTAGTTTTTTTTATATGTTCTACTCCAAAGGTTATATCCTTTTTTTGGATGTGTTACTGAAGTAATGCTGTTTTTTTTTAGCATATTACTAATGATTAAAAAAAAAGTTTAGTCCAATAGTTGGAATCACCTTTTATTTATTTTTCTTTGTAACTAGGAAGGTAATGTTACTTTAGATGTATAGTTGTTTGGAAATAATAAACCATTGTGAAATAATTTGTAGCATTTTTTGTGTTTGTTGACAAAATTTGTAAGGTATGAAATTCATATTTAAAGGTTTTTTGAAGTGCAAAAAACAAATATCAACTATATTCCTCTCTAAAAAAATATTCACTCCCACATCGCTATGACAGTTGGTCCAAATTGTATCCATATTGTAGCTATCTGCTGAATATTTAAATAGTGGTCTAGTATCAAAAAAAAAATTTTTTTGGAAAAAACAAAGTTAATTTTAGTTTTTCGCACCTAAAAAAACTAAAACGAATTTTTATAGCAATTGAAAAATTAAAATTTTCAACACAAAATTTTTCCTCTTACAAATTTTGTTGACAACCACAAAAATGGTGATAACTTCAGAACGGTTCCACCGATCCACATGAAAATTATTAGGGATTTAGGCATCTGTATGCTACAAGAAATGGTATACATCTGGCCTTCGTAAACAAATTAGAACTAAAGATATAAAAGAAAAATGAGTTAGACGTTTTTCATGATTTCTAGCATAATAAGAAATTAAATCCAAAACTTATTAATGTCAGTTGGAAGAGAAGTAATTCAGCTTTCCAACAATTATATTTAAGTTGAATTTGAAGAAAATCCTGAGGAGTTATGTAATGCTTTAGTTGACGACTGAAAAAGAAATCACAAGAAAATCAAGTAATAAATGCTGTATTTTTTTAAATATATAATAATTCATATTTAACAGTTTCAAAAGATCCATAAAACGAATCTAACTTCCTTTTTCGTATCAAAAATTTACTTGGCCTGCTTTACTGGAAGTATCTTTTGGTTTTTGTAATTTATCATGCATTACAACTCATTCAATACAATAGAAAATATATATATTTTTTAATTTGTTGAAATTGGTTAACCCACTGGCTGTAGCCTGCCCTTCAAAGTTTAAATATTCTTAGTTCAAGTAAATATGGAAGTACATTCCTCTATGGTGGATAGAACTTCCCAATTTCTGTAGTCTATTTTTAAAAATATAATATCGTAATATTATTGATTGTATTTGTATAAAAAATATTTATATCAACAACATGGTTTTTTGTCTGTTAACATAATTATTTAAATTTTTGGTAATGTAAATAAAGTAAATAATTCTTCTGTTATAAATATCATTTTCTTTATGTACTATTTTTGGATTTTAAAAATGAAATCCATATTTATTATATTAGTTTAGAATTACAGATTTGTTTATGTTTTTTTGAAAACCTTTGTTCAGTTAGACTAAAATAAGATTTGTTTGTATATTCTATTTTATACACTCTGGACAACAAAAGTTATTTGTTATTACAAACATTATTTGGAACTTCGATTAGCGTTGAACACCTTTTTTCACTTTTTTTTTTTTGGCTGTTATATGAAAATTAATTCATATAGATTCCTAGATCATTTGTACTGTGGTAGATAAATTTTAGAAAATTCTTACATTTTGTTTTTTAATTATACCCAAATTAACTTATGATTACATGCCAACAAAAGTTTTCATACAACACAGTTTCTATGTTCATAAACTAGTGTTTATTGTTTATTTATTTATTTATCAATTCTTAATACTCTCTGTGTCAGTATGATCGTTTCAGTTTATATGAATTTCTTTCAGACAAAATTAGAATTTTGTGTGGCTAATTCTAATACAATGTCTAGAACAAAAAAAAATACCTCATCGAAAGACAGAATCAAAGTAATTTTTTTCAGAGAACAGAGCCATACGTTCAGAAAAATTAGCTTAGAAACAGGATTACTATTTTCTACAGCACAGGGTATTATTAATCAATATAAAAAAGAAGAAAGATTGGTTGACAAAGATATATCCCTTTATTTACATATATATATATATATATATATATATATACACACATAAATATTTACTGAAAGAGAAGAACAAATAATAGTCAGAAAAATTAAAGAAAACCTTCCAAAAAAGAAATTATTGAACAAACAGAAAAAAATCCAAATCTGTAATGATCCCTTGGATATTAAAGATATATGGATTTAAAACCCGGGTGAGTATAAAAAAGCCTTGTAAAAATTTAAATAATAAGAGAAAAAGGCTGGCTTTTGCCAAAGAGTTTATTAATAGATTTACTAATTACTGGATTGACATCATTTTCGCTCATGAGAGGAAATTTGATATCTGAGGATCGGATGATAGATCAATTGGATGGCCCAAACCTGAGCAGAGTTTAAATTAAAAAAATTTAACTGCTACAGTAAAAGGCCGAGGTAAGAAAGTTCTTGGATGGGGCTGTATGTCTGTTGGTGGGTCTGTACATGTGTAGGAAATATGGTTTTTATTGAAGGAATAAAATAGACATTAAACGGACATTTAAGTTTCATCAACATAATGACTCTAAGCTCTTCCTATATGAGAGCGGTTGTTGTATAATTGTCTTAAGGTGCTTAAAACTCCTTATCTGAGCCCTGATTTAAATCTTGGCGATCATTTATGGGCTCATTGATTCAAAGCTTAGGAATTTTAATATAAGGTTGATAAAATTAATTAATGAAAGAAAATACTATTCTAACTTTAAAAATGGTAAAATCAATTCCCAAGTGGCATAAAATGGTATTAAAAGAAAAACAAAGAGTTACATTCAAAACATTGATATAATTTTTTTTATAATGATACATATCATG